GTTCCAACACATTATAACATGTGACAGATATACGATTAATGTCCATGATAACTACGCACAGCTCTGAATTAAATCCAAACTAACACTTAAAAAGAAGAAGAGCTGAATACTCCGACATGCGTTATTTTTTCTATACCCTACTTTAGAAATATTTTGTATCACTTCATATTTCAACAATATTTTAAAATCAAATATTTATAAATTTACTGAATACGCTGTTGTAAACTACCAACACTTGATGTATAACGTATTGCCTAGAAGGCGGTAGAAGTTACCCACTGCCATGTAATTTTATTTAGCGTTGAGACTAGCATGTTATTTATTGTTCTTAAAATTTCGCATGTCTTAGAGAAAGGTATATAATATGAGGTATTCGATGAATAAAGGAATATAAGCACCCTCTTGCACACTTTTGAAAACAGCCCTCCGAGTTTAAGTTTGCAAACTGTTTTTCGATCTGTAAATCACACTTACGAGCCCTATTGATTTTGAAATAACTCTAAACAGCACATGGTTCATGTAATACCTTATTTACTGAATTTTTAATAATATTTAGTTTTTTTATTGTAGAATATACCGAAAAATCGCCGGAAAAAGTAAAAGAAAATTTAGATACTAAATCCAATGGTATAGCTAATTCAGCTGGTAGGCGGGGATCACTGCAATTGTGGCAGTTTCTCGTAGCTCTATTGGACGCCCCGGACGCTAGTGCTGGATGTATAGCATGGACAGGCAGGGGCATGGAATTTAAATTAATAGAACCAGAAGAGGTAATTTTTGTTGTTATAATAATAAATAAAATGCGAAGTGCTGGTAATCGTTTTCAACACAAATAAATATGTGTGACACTGTTTTTTTTTTAATATTTTTTCTTGGTACGCCATCATTGATAAATAAAATGTTTCTAAAGCATATCTTGACTGAAAAACTGTATACACGCCATTGAATAATTTTCTAGAACATTTTGTGGTTCACTTCTCAATACATATTGTTACGCAGATTATTGGTATCACAATTTATTTCAACTCAACTTTTACAATAACTCAATTCAACTTTAACAATAACTTCCAACTGATAACATTAACGTATAACGTCTATCATAAAACTGACTATCTTACGTCAGGATCATCCTTATATAGCTTGCCGGACCCTTCTCGAACTGTCGTCTAGAATATTCTTGACGGGTAATGACATTTCCAGACATTTCTGGACTATTCTATCTTCTTTTACTTGCACTTTTTCTTATGATGACCGCAACACACTGTAAGGCGATGAGTAACATTCCACTTCTTTTTCTATCTGTACGTTTCCTATAATAGTCGCAGGCTACTGCAGGGTGCTGCATAACATTGCTCCCTCCTCTCTAGTTATTCGCCCCGAATAACTTAATTACTAGGACCTGGTTGGAGCCAACGGGGAGGTTCTGGACCACTATATGGCGCTAACTTTTTAACGTAAACTATTTTGGGTTTACTTCCCGCTAACAACTGAATGAGGTAAATCAGGTCGTTAATTTGCTTGAGGACGGTGTAGAAGCCTTCCCAGTTCCGTTGCAGTTTCTAACAAAGTTTTCCTCGCTTCTTGGGATTGCACAGCCATACCTGGTCGCCTCTTTCAAAATGTGTATCTGTAGCACGTCTGTCGCTTCTAGCTTCTGCTTTATCGGTTTGGGCTTTCAGTCGTTCCCGAGCGATCCATAGACCTTTGTCGTGCCACACACTTTTTACACCAATCCGCTACATCCCGTCGGCAATTGACCCAATAAAATCTTTCCCGAACTCGTGCCAGCGTTCTTTTAGTATCAAAGTGTCCTCCTGAACGGTTACTATGAAGCTCCTCCAATACATTTCTCACCTGCAACTTCGGCAGACTACATAAACTCCATCGGGGCTCTCCCACTTCCGGTGCAATAGGCCATCGTGAAGATACAGGGAATGCCACTGGGTCCAGTAGCCTTTTATAATTCTACTGTATTTGACTATCTCTTGCCAAGTAGGTGTGACTTTATTTTTGAGCCATTCTAGGACAACCTTTAAGTCATTGTCTTTCTTCTGTCCCTGTCTCAGACTTTCAAGGGTGATTTCTTCTTCGTCGCCCTCTGGCTTAATAGTGGTTGTCCGAAGAGTAACTTTATCAACCGGTTCTTCTTGTTCTTTGAGCCTTTTACCATACCAGCATTGTTCCTCTAAACGGGGTTGCCTGAAGAGAATGTCTGCGTTGCTATGGAGACCTTTTCGATGCTCTACTTTCTGGTTATTGTTAGAAAGCCGGCTCGGTATGTGTGATTGGCTTCTTCGGCGCGCATAGCTGCTGTAATTAATTCATGTTGGTCTTAGTGATGGACTTGGAAAGATCGATCTATATGATTTTCCGGTCTCATTCGCTGATTCTCGATTTATAGAATGAGCCATGCTTCTATAGGTTCTTTGAAGATGCCCGATTCTTTCGCAATTGAAGCATCCCCTGCATCCATTTTGGCTGTTTCGTTGCATATTTCGTAGGATATTTAAGATTTGGGAAATATCATTAGTATTGGCCTCCTCACTTTCTTGGGATTTAATTTCCCTTACTTTTGCGCGAGAAGATCTGGATAAGAGTTTTACCGCTTCATATTCCTGGACTACAATCAGTTTCTCCCTCAGCGTCTTGTGATGTTGTAGATGTAGGTCTTGCTGCATTTCCGCATCTTGTAATTCATCAATGAATGCCTCTATTCCGATTTGTTCTTGGAAATCTTTGGGCGCCTGTGGATAGGCCAGATGAATCAATCTTCTTATGTCGGCCCCGAATTCCTGTAGACTCTCATTATGTTTCTGACTACGAATTTTAAGCTGGCCTTGAAATACCTGTTTTAAATGCTGCTGGCCATATCTTGTCTCAAAAGCTTGGACGAGAGATAAATAACTGGGTTCCTCTTGAGGAAGTAACTGTAAAACGGTTGCTGTCGGACCTCGCAGTGACACTATGGAGCCGCCATCTCTTTCTCGGTCCAGCCATTGGCTCTAGCTGCAGCTTCAAATTGGAGTCGATATGTTTCCCATGTTGTCTGACCGTCAAACGTGAGTGGCTTAAGGGTCTTGCTAGTATAGTTTTGTGATACTGGGATTCGAATGTGGCTTGGTTCGGTTATGGATGAAGACGAGGTAGTGTTTTCAGTTTCTTTGTTGCTTATAGAAGCTTGGCTACGAAGTTTTCTTTCTAACTCAACCAGTTCAGTTCTAATTTACCTTTCGAACTCTACTCTAGCCTTTTCCTGTTGTTTTAAAATATCTCTTTGTTGTTCTAAATTAGTTTTTAAATGCTCTTGCTGCTGTTCTAAATTAACTTTTAAATGCTCTTGTTGTTGCTCTAACAGATCTACTCTAATTTTAAGCTGACTAACCTCTTGCTTGAAGGTTTCTTGGGTTTGTAGCAAACCGTTCATAATTTCTACCTCAGCTTTTCTACGCCTTTCTTTTTCTCCTCTTCCTTCCTACGCATTTTCTTTTTCTTCTTCCTAAGCCTTTCCTTTTCCTCCTCTTCTTCCTTCCTACGCCTTTCCTTTTCTTCCTTCCTTCGTCTTTCCGTATCCTCTTCTCGCCTTTCTTTCTCCTCTTCCTCCTTCCTACGCCTTTCCTTTTCCTCCTATTCTTCCTTCCTATGCCTTTCCTTTTTCTCCTTCATCTTCAAAAACCATGCTGAGGGACCTGAAGTATCCATGCCTGTTTCGTATTCGGTGGATCTAGTATTTACTATAAATTTATATCCCACCGCTGTCTCCAATGTTACGCAGGTTTTTGGTATCACAATTTGTTTTAACTCAACTTTTACAATAACTCAATTCAATTTTAACAATGACTTCCAACTGATAATATTAACGTATAACGTCTATCATAAAACTGACTGTCTGACGTCAGGATCATCCTTAAATAGCTTGCTTGACCCTTCTCGAACTGTAGTCTAGAATATTCTTGACATGTAATGACATTTCCAGACATTTCTGGACTATTCCATCTTCTTTTACTTATGACGTCCGCAGCACACTGTAGGGCGAATGGGTAAATTATCCTGTGGGATATAGCGCAGTAAAGGAAGAAGAAGAAGAAAAAGAACATTGTAGGGCGATGAGTAACATTCCACTTCTTTTTCTATCTGTACGTTTCCTATCATAGTTGCAGGCTACTGCAGGGTGCTGTGTAACAATATTATAATTATATATGTATAGCAAAAAATATACTAACTTCTCATTTATTGTAGGTAGCGCGGCGTTGGGGAGCACAAAAGAATCGCCCAGCCATGAATTACGATAAATTAAGTAGATCTTTGCGATATTATTATGAAAAAGGGATAATGCAAAAAGTGGCTGGTGAGTTATATGTGGTCCAAATTATGACGCTTAACGCTAATTACTAATTTTTATTTTTATCAATATTTTTTGTTTTTTTTTTTTTAGGAGAAAGGTATGTGTATAAATTTGTTTGTGATCCAGAAGCCCTATTCAATATGGCTTACGGAGGCCATGCCGACAATAGTATAAAATTCCAATCAGCTGTTCGATCAGAAAACTCCAGTATAAAAGTTGAACCACAGCATCATCTTGGTTATACTGATATGCTCAATTTTTATAACTGTGGCATTGCACATTCCTATCAACATTTGCATCCTTACCTGCAAGATTCCAAACACACACGCTTCACCTAATTAGTATAATTCATACCTAAAATATAAACAGAAAATGAAATTTTAATCTTTAACTTATATACCCGTCAATGTATCGTATAATGTAAAGCATTAAAATTTCGAAACACTATAGCATTTTATTTATTTACTGATACGGATATTTTCATAGATATAATTTTTATTTTAATACGTAAAAATTATGCATTCTCATTTCTCGTACTATACAAAAATAATAAAACTTCAATAACAGTACGCCACTGTCAACTAGGTGTCTGTATATAGGCAACGACGTAGTACAAAAAAAAAATAAAACGAAAAGAAGAATGATTATGATGAAAGAGGTTATGTTTTGATTTGGGTTTATTGTTTATTTACTTATACGGTTATACAATTTTTTATATTTCATAAGTTGATTTAAAAAAATATATATACGATAAAATGTTTCCAGAATAGAAGCACAATTTACTGTAATAATGATTAGTAATATTGATAAAAAATTCTGTTTTAATAATGAAAAACTAAAATATGAAGAGCAAAAATCCAGCCAAACGAACATATCGTGGAGCAGTTCAGATTCTGATGATGAACCGAATACATTTTTCCAGTTAAAAAAATTAAAAACGAAATATAATAACTCCAGTCTTAATTGGATAAAGCCAGCAGTAACTGAAACTTTTTTGGAGAACAAACAGAGAAGCCCTGACGAATCTCCTGTTATTAGTAGTTGTGCAGTACAAGAGATGTCCCCGGTTTTATCAGAAAGCACATCGTCTGAAGTTGCAAACGAATCATCCCCTGTTATTGGAAAAAGACGTCTATTAAAAAGAATGAGAAGCAAATTCAAAAAATCTTCCAAGTTGAAATTTGAATCTTCTCCAGATATTTTTGAATCCCAAAGTTCACTAATTATAGAAAATGATTCCCCAGAGTTTTTAGTTAGTAATGGAGACATTTCTCCAATTAAATCACTGGATATTCATGATATAAGCTCTCAAAAATCTACACAAACAGATTTACAAAGAAGTTTAGAATCAATATATCCATTTCCTAGTCAACATAGTAGTCAAATTACTAGATATGATAGTACTGAAAGTAACAATTCAAATAATTCACTTTACTACCAACCTGGTTCTAAAAGAAAACGTTATAAAAAGGATGGTCTCGCTTTTCAGCTCCAAAACGTACTACACTTAAAAAAATCTAAGATTTCCATATGGAAACACGAACTCTATATGAAGAGAGTCTCCAATGTAGAAGGAATGATTCAGTTCCTAGTTTTGAAAGTCAAAAAAGAATATGGCAAAGTGGTTCTTAATTGTAGTGAAATTGTGAAAAAGACTGAAAGAGTTGTATTTAGTGACTCATTATTAAGTGCTGAACATGAAAACTTTATGTTAGTTTTAATTAGTGGGACTGAAAACATAAATTTTATGGAAAGAAATACATATAAATTATATCCACCATATGAAGCTAAAATGGTATTGTACAATAATTCTAAAGAAGTTATATGTTATTATAATGTGAGCAAGATTATAAGTTGAAAAATACAATGGACATTTTCAATTAAAATTAGTTTTAATGGGGTTATCATTTAATCAGATATTGGGTCCTATGATTGAACGTTTACGTTATCCCTAAAGTATATTATGTTAGGCTGAGTTTTACCAGCAATGAGGCAAATTCGTATGATGGAAAGTTCTTCATAACATTTCAATTTATTCAATTCAATTATATACAATATACCTACATGATATGACAACATAATATTAAACAAAAACTTGTACTAATAAATGAACCTAAGTGACTTAACACTTGTATGTGCAAGAATGAAATGTAAAATATAACATAAAATATAACAATATAATTGATTTAAAGTTACTCTGAACTATATAATATGGTAATGGCAAAAAATATGAAGAAAAGGAACATAAAATAACAAATTAAAATAATTTCTTGAATTTAGAAAAATAAATATAAGTAGGTATACTTACAAACTACAAAAGTTGAGCAATGTATTCTCTTTTCTCAAAAATAAAAATTTTACGTTGCTCAACAAACCTATACCCAATTGTGGTTCAAATCTTCAATGATAGTATGTTGAAAATTTTTGATGCCATGATTGCAGTAAATCTCTGGTTGGCATCATATCTTCTAAATGGTACCAAGATCATGTTATTAAGATTATGTCTTGTTTGGTAGTAATGATTGATATAATTTTTGTTTTTAGATTTAAAGACATATATACAGTTGCTAAGGTAGTAAAGACATCGAATATTTAGAATATCATGATTATATAATAGGTTAGTTGTAAAAAGTTTGTCTTTAAAAAATATTACAGGTAAAATATAGTTTTGGACAACATTCAATTGATTTAATACAATGTCATAGAGCCCTCCCCAGGCAATGATACCATATCTTAGGAGCAATTCTACTAATGATTTATAAATTTGTATAGGTAGTTTTTTAGATACACATTACTGTTATTTTCCAGCTGTTATGCTGTAATTTAACATATCGCCTCAACAGCCTCAAATAATATGCCGTTAAGTGCCCAAACATCCATGTTACCACTTTATTTATTATATTTTTAGAAATTTGATTTTAAATGGAGGGATTTATTAATATACATTTAATACAAGAATTAGATAATGAAATGAAGAGCTAAGTGTCTTGCGTATAACTTTATTACTATTTTATACTAATGAATTATGAGGTAAAATAAAATGGTGAAGAGATAAGTGTATTGAGTATAACTTTATTACTATTGTCACGATTCGTATAGAGAAAGTAAAAGTTGAAAAGTATTTTGGTAGGTAGAGAGGGGGTAAACGTCAAACCACGTCGGGCGGCTCCGAGAATTTCACAGTAATGTTTCATAGAATAAGTAATTTTAAATTGTTATCGGCGGAACCGTACAATCGCATGTATTTATGGATTATAAATAACTATTAAACATGTATTATAATATTCAAATTATAATTTTACAAAATTTCAACAGCTATTCACAATTTATTAAACTATTTACTCGAAATTGTTATTAAAATCTATAAAATAATTTTGTACGCCAATGTATCGCGTCCACTTCGGTGAGATCCGGTGCCAACCTGTCAATTTATGTGTATAAAGTGGGAGAACTGGCAAAAGCATTTCCAACTTTTACTTCTGTTCTATAAATTCATATTTTTCCTAATTTTAATTAATTATTTAAATAACATCCTGTACATAAAACTTTGTTTAATTATGTCAACAATTTGTTTTAAATAATGTGCAAGGTTGGTTATTTAATAATTATTAAACATTAGTTTTAATAACAATAAACTATGAGAAAGTTATAAAGGCAATGTCGAGGGGATGCATGAGGCTTTTTTCCACAGGAAACGAATCCTCCCCATAGGAGGTCCCCCTTGTAGGAGATTTCCTGTAGCAGCTCCAGCTCATAATCTTCATAGTTTAAATTAAAAGTCGTTTTTTAGTATTTTGAATAACTGCGTTTTAATAGTCTGGCAAGAGTTGTGACGTGTGCCCCAAATATTGATGAGTTGGTAAGTCTACGTTTTATGTACTTGTTATTATATTGAGCCCATTTTTGTGTATGTCGAGCTGTAGCCTATTTTGAATTTTTATATTAAATATATACTATATTTGTTTTAAGAAAACGTTGTGTTTCCTTTAACCTTCAGAGGTTTAAATTGCCGAATAAACCCCCCATGTAGTTAATTGCCACGAATCCTAGTTTAAGGCAATAGAGTCCTCATTGAGGTCTGAATTTATTTATTTTGTTATTTGACCCGCGGGACATAGATAGTCCCATAATTATTTAAAACACGTGAATCGTGACTTTTCTTTTATTAAAAAACACGCATAATGTGACACTATTTTATATTAATTAATTATGATATAAAATCTTTATTATTAGTAATTTTCTATATATTTAAATTGCACATCCAAAGAGAGCATATTAGAGATCACAGTATACTTTTTTTATCTCCTGATAAGATTCTATATTATGAACTTCCAAAAAAATAGATGCAATTTATGCAAGAATTGGGTCCCATTTTAATACTCTTCAAAGGCCAAGGATTGTATCCATTCAGGTTAAACTAAAGATCTAATACCTATATTGCTATAATCTGAATTCTTAGTATATTTGAATCTGTTTTTTATTTATATAATTTGTAAATGTTAGCCTAAAGTGACCATTCATCCCGATTTAGGCGGTACAGTGCTAATTTTAAACCACTAGTCTTGATTTAACATGTGTCACGCTTTTATGCGATTTAAAAAAATTAATCTATATTTTGTTTAAGCCACCTAAAAATTAATTTTTATGGTTATGTGACAACATAATACAAAATAATTTTGTATCCAGTACATCAAAATGAGAAATATTTTTTGAAACAAATTTAAAATATAAACAATTAATGTATTAGCGTTTCGTTTTATTTTTTAATAATTATTTCTCTGTAGTATAATGTTTTAATGTTGATGCATGTTTATTTTAACAATATTGGTTTTATTTAGATATATTCTTATTCATTGGAGTAAAGGATTTGTAGAAGTAATATTTTGACAGGTTTTATTAATAAAATATATTCAATTTTTACCGGACCGTACTAAACAAGGTAATTTTGAAAATTTATAGTAATGTGAAATTGGAATTTTAGATAGGTAGTAAATTTACACTTGGATGAAGTAATATCGCTTTTTACAAGAAAACTTGAAAAGTAAATTAATTTAGTCCCTATTTACTGATGTAAAATTTAAACCATGAAAACAAATAATAGTTTGTGCAACAAGATTGCATATTATGATGGCCATAGTAGATTAATTGGCCGGTTCTGGAAATGAGAAAGAGGTACAGAGAGAGGCAATTCGGTAATTAGTAATTATCCTAAGTACCCCCCACCCTTCGCGCAATTAGCAAGTACCTCCCAATTACATCATGTACTGTAATAAGTGCAATTGCACAGTAAGTACCACCCAATTACATCATGTACTGTAATAAGTGCAATTGCACAGTAAGTACCTCCCAATTACCATCTACACGCCATACTGTAATGATTGTAATTGCATAATAAGTACCTCCCAATTACCCACAGGGTATATATCTCATTACTCCATACATATTAAAGTGTAAGTACACCTTAGGTAGTAATTACTGTATGCAATGTAGTGTAATGAATGTTATCTAAGTGCCTCCTAGTGATTACTGTTGGCAGCAGGTCCTTAACTCTCGACCGTCGTGCCTAGAGTGCTTAGCATGGAGGAAAGATTATTAAGAGTTGCCGTATCTTTATAGAAATTTGGCAACAAGTTTGCTTGCAGCGACCTGTGGAAGCGGGTGGTTCAACTAATCCTACTCTGTCGGTAATATAGTTACCTGCAATATTAGCTGTTCGATCATTACTCTGTTGGTAATGCAGTTGCCCGTAATACCATATTTAATTTGAAAATTGGCGGGCTTATTTTACATCCATTAAGAGGAGCATTTATTTTAACAATTATTATTTTCCATCTAATACGAAATATAGGCATCCAAAATTTCAGTTAATTTTTTTCATTTTTAGTGAAAGAAAAACATGTAAGTGAAGGTAGACGTTCGTTCCTCTGGAGCCACTTTTTTAAAATTTGATCAATTTTGATGGCAAAAATCGCAAAATTTTGTTTCATAAAGACTTTCTCAATTTTTGAGAAAATAAATCAGATTTCGGAATAGTGGCTCCAGAGAAACAAATATTTCACTTTTACCTGAATGTATTCATTCACTAAAAATTAAAAATAAACTAGAAATGTCCATAGCTCTATTTCGTATTGGTTAGAAAAAGATAATTGCTAAAGTAAATTTTTCTCCTCTTAATTATATTTAAAATTTTGCTTTTTTATTAGCTGTTTGTTACAATTATGAAATGCCAATAAAAATGTAAAATTCTATGACAAATAACTATGAGGGGTAAAATAAATACCATACAAAGTTTTATATAATTATATTTACTAAAAATTCCCAAGAAAAATAAATTAAATTAATGGTAATACAACAATAATAATAATAGATTTTTCTACACTTCAACCTACATGAGTTAAACCCCAAGAAGAGCTTGTGAGTGGCAAGAATAGTTATTATTATTTGCTATGGCACTCTGGGCTGATTTAAAGATAACCGATAGTGCCATATTATTTGCAGGTGAGTAAAACCCGGATAACCCGGCCTACCATCATTATTTGTATATATTAGTTTATTTCGATACAAAGTACAATCTATTTTTACAAATGTTTACTAGTTTCTATAAAAAATACTCCTAATTTCACGAAAATGTTATTCTCTAAAGATTATCTAATGAGTTTGGCTTAAAAACATTCTAGTATTATAAATAATCTCCAAATATTTATTATCTTTAAGAAAGTTACTCTAATATCAGAAATATCACATTATTATTTAGGTGTACGTTAACTATCTTCGGTTAAAATAATGAATATCAGAAATTGCAAATAATTCATGTACTTGATTTGAAAAAACTAATTTTCTAAATAACAAAAATATTCTTGTTGAATCTTGGG